GACGGGACACTTGGTACAATATGACAAAGCAACTAGACTATTCTCCTTGCAAAGCTATTTCGCCAGGAAACATCGTGAAGCCCTACAAATTCTGAAGCATCTCGATAACCTCAACCGCGACAAAAATTATCAAACAAATCCTATTCGGCACACTGCTCTTAATATACACTCACACCAGGAGGCGTCATAACGGAATACTTTCCTGTCGATGAAAAACTTCCCGCAATATATTTAAGGGCCACAACCCAAGAAGACTCAGTATCGGAGCTCTCAGTTCTGAAGATGCAAACTGCAACGTTTACGAAACGTCGGCATTACGCTGTTCAATCACGCGGCATCCATCCGGAATCCTTTTGCATTGATGATTCCAATGGCCGCAAAAGCCTCAAAACTAGAAGTTTTGTAAAAATTTTGTAAATTAAAATTCACATACGTGCGTGTATTCTAAGAATATCAAAAGTTAAATCGTTAATCATGTTATCAAATATTATTGTTATTGATAAAATGAGAAACAATTATAAAATTAAGAAAAAGATTGCATTAAATTTTCTCTCTAAAAAAGGCATGTTATTGACATTGTCTTAGCTTTCCGCAATGCTGATTGGTTGTCTCAATTGCCGTTGTTATGCGTTAGATTTCTAGCATCGAGCAGCTGTTGAGAGTTAATAGTTTGATAGTTGTCAAAATAAAATTTATATATAAATTTTATATAAAAACTAAAAAACACAAGCGCGCGCTTCGCGCGCGCCAAACAAATTTTTACTCCGCGAATGTATATATTGTAATTTAATTCGCCGAATTTCAATTATGTGCATAACTTTAATTCACGAATTTCTATTATACATATACATAATTTAAATTTGCTGAATTTCTATTATGAATTTAATTTTAATTCGCCGTATTTCTTTTATATAAATAATTTTAATTTTTGATTTTCCATTATGTTCATAATTTTAATTTTTGAATTTCTATTATGTACATAATTTTAATTCGCCGTATTTCTATTATGTAAATAACTGAAATTGTATCTAATAGAAATTCGGCCAGTTAAATTTATGTACACAATAAAATTTGACAAATTGAAATTATAACGCATAATAGAAATTCAAGAGTACTTATGTATTGTACATAGTAAAAATTCGGAGAATCAAAATTTAAAACATAATGGAAATTCAAGAATTAAAATTACACAATAAAAATTCAAGAATAAAATTATGTACATATAGAAATTCAGCGAATTAAAATTATTTACATAAAAGAAATACGACAAATTAAAGTTATATACATAACAGAAATTGGGCAAATTAAAATTATTTAGATAAAAAAAATACGGTGAATTAAAATTATGTACTTAATAGAAATTAGAAATTCAATGAATTAAAATTATGTACATAATAGAAATTGGGAATTAAAATTATGTACATAATAAAAATTCGAAAATTCATGAACATAATAAAAATTCGACAAATTAAAATTATGAACATAATAGAAATTCACAAATAAAATTGTGTACATAATAGAAATGAGATTAAAATTATGCACGTAATAGAAATTCGGTGAATTAAAATTATGTACATTACCGAAATTCGGCAAATTAAAATTATGTGCATAGTAGGTAAAAATATAGAATTAAAATTATGTACATAATAAAATTTCGGCGAATTAAAATAAAAAATACGCTTCCCTGTCGCAATGCGGCACAAACAGTGGTCTAAACAAAAACAAAAAAAATAAAAACAAAAGAAAAATAGAATAACAATTTCGCACATTTATGCTATTAATATAAAAGTATTAGACAAGGTAAATATTTAGTCTTTAAAAAATAATCCTAAAATAAAGCAATCGACTGATATAATACATAAAATTAGGTTCTAGTTTTGAGACTTTTGCATGCAAAAGGTTTCCGGATGTAAACCTTTTGCATTCATAAAATTAGATATCTAATCATCATATAAATTATAGAGTTTTGCATGTATTTTACCCGCGACAAGCAACTTTTGCATCGCCAGATTCAAAATGCAAACTATCGTTATTTAATTCTGAATAACTAAAACGTTTAATATTAGGTGTTAGCAAACAGCTCATACGTGATTTTAAAGCCAGGTATTCCCTCAAAGGTCTCTCTACTTTCTTGTCAGTGCACTTATTCAACACAGAAATATATTTTTTAACTGATATAATCTTTGTGCTAGACTTTATTTTAGTGATATCCAATTTATTTTCTAAATTCACCTAGCTATCATTTTCCTTATTATTCTCGAAAGAAAGATCGATTGGACATGGTGACTGAATTCCAGAATTGTACTTTCCATCTCTTTCTACAGTTTTGTTAAATTAGTATCAAGCGTTTTATAAACTTCTTTCGGAATATAACTGTCTTTAATATTAATATTATTGCTAATCGTACATAGCGATTTTGTGTTTGTATCATTCATTATTTTTATATTATTATTTAAATTTTCAATCATCTCCTTCAAAATCTTGTTGTCAATATTACGGTTATTGATTTCCTTTGTTGTTATATTTAACATAGATAATACATCTGTAATAGTATTACAATATTAGTAAATATTGATTTCAAATTCGATACTATATCTTATAATAGAAATATGTACATAATCTAAATTAACTGAATTTCTATATGTACATAATTTCACCGAATTTCTATTTCCCTTTCTAACTGAGAAACTGTAGTCAAAACCACTCAATCACAAAATTAATAAACACTCATTTATCAGATTTTAACTATCATATACATCAAATCCTTTAATATACATCACTACACTAACCCCTCGATACATACAACTGTCAAAATATGCCAGCCGCAATGACAGCCGCTCACGAAGTAAACGCTGACAGAACCAATCAGCATCGCGGAAAAGAGGGCTTCAAAACTTCGATACAAATTGAATTCACACAGTTAACATGCCTTTTTTAGATACGGATATATTAAGATATTAGTTATTTTTCGTTCTGCATTCGTGCGTGTATTTGTACACGTTCGGAAGATCATATTTAATTTCATATGAAATACATTTGCTATTGCCAAGAGGACAACAGAGCAGAATGTGAAGTAAGTGAATCCATTATATATATATTGTACATAATTTTATAATTCGCCGAATTTTTATATTATATATCATTTTAATTCACCGTATTTCTATTATGTACATAATACTAATTCCCGAATTTCTATTACGTATATGTATAATTTTAGTTATCGAATTCTCTTATATGTACAAACGTACATTTATTCAAATCATCGAATTTGCATCATGTACATGATTTTAATTCATCGAATTTCTATTATATTTACATAATATTAATTCCCAAATTTCTATTATTTGAGTACATAATTTTAATTCACGAATTTCTATTACGGATACATAATTTGTATAATTTGTATAATAATAAAATCATATATTAATAATGAAATTTATTGTAATTATTTAAACTATGTAAATTAATAACAAAAAGTGTTTTTAAAAATATATAACTCGGAAATTAAGAAAAATAAAAATTTTTTTTAATTCATGGAAGCTACTTTTAATAGATAAAAAAAAATTAAAAAATAAATATAAATTAAAGATATAAGACAGGCAATAAGAGCCAACTCGCGGATGACAGTGCGTTATCCTAACGAAACTAAATTTTTCGTTAGGATTAAGTATCTGTGCACAAGGCACCAAATTTTACTTGGTCACGGCCAAGATTTAAAATATGAAATAATCTCATATTTGAGATTTAATTTCAATAACCCTTTCACCCCCTTACGGAAATAAGTAAATGCAAGAGAAAAATATAGATCCGAAAGTCGCTGAATCGGGAATCGAACCCGAGACCTTTCGCTTGCCGGGCGACTGCTCTTCCAACTGAGCTATTCAGATCCTTTCGATTCTATACTTTTCTCTGCTATATGTAATAATGTTGATAAACAAACGCGTTTAAGCCAGCGTATATAAATAAGAGTTTAGGGTAGGGGGGTGAAAGGGTTATTGAAATTAAATCTCAAATATGAGATTATTTTATATTTTAAATCTTGGCCGTGACCAAGTAAAATTTAGTGCCTTGTGCACAGATACTTAATCCTAACAAAAAATTTAGTTTTGTTAGGCTAACGCACTGTCATCCGCGAGTTGGCTCTTATTGCCTGTCTTATACCTTTAAATTTATATTTATATTACAGAGCCTTGTTAAACTCTTAAAAAAATAAAATCAAATAAGAAATATTTTTATCGGCTCTCAATATTAAGAATAATATATGATATTTTTAAATCGGCCAATAGAGCCCAAGCGCGAAAAATTAATTCTTCGGAACTGTATCTCTTGGTTTGAAATTACTAAGTGCCATATATAAATTAATCTCGAATTTATATATGGAGAAAATAGGCGAGAAAAATATAGGTCCGATATTTACTAACATCTACTAAAAAGGCAAATGAAAAATATAGGATCAAAAGGGTCTGAATAGCTTATTGTTAGTTGGTAAGAGCAGTCGCCCGGAAAGTGAAAGACGCGGGTTCGATTCCCGCTTCAGCGACTTTTCGGACCTATATTTTTTTCGTCTATTTTCTCCATATGTAAGTTCGAGATTAATTTATATATGGAACTTAGTAATCTCAAACTAAGAGATACAGTTCCGAGAATTAATTTTTTGCGCTTGGGCTCTATTGGCCGATTTAAAAATATTATATAAAAAAAATAAAGTAAATAAAAAATAATCGGAGAAAAAAGTAGTTGATTTTGGAATGCCCCATATAGGTATATTCTTTACACATATTCTTTAAATAGTCACATTTATTCTATATTAATAAGAGAGCAAACTTGTAATGTTAATTCATATTTTTAATATTTTTATGTTTTTAAATAAAAAAAAATATATCTTTGAAAGACATCGGAAGCAGGAATTTTATTAATCCCATGCTTTTAGTTTTTGCCGAGTCATGTTAAAAATATATGTATAGACGTAACAGGATCTTCATTAAAATGATCAGATATTTTGTTTCGTGAGAATTTCATTCCTTACCGACGCAGGTTATAACACCGTCAGGTTGTGTCACCGGGACTTTCTCGAAAAGGCAGATACATCGGCCATCGCGGCATTCTGTTTGTCTCACTCGTGCTTCGCATTGTTCGTGGAAGAAACAGGACTCATTCACATTTGCCGCTAAAAAGATTTTTAATATTATGAAATAACATTTGTGCAACCAGCGCGCGAAAAGTCGCCCTTTACGCACATGTGGGATTTTAGAAAGGACTCCCTTTTCACGCACCGGTCACATAAAATATCCTAGCCAACATGTGCGGGTCATAAATCGGCCGATCGTGCGGATTGTCACACTCGACTTCGCCTCGTGCGCCAAACTTTCGCACTCTCGTCCGATTTACGATCCCCCGCACTTGTTAGCTAATATACTATATATGTTGTCAAACTTTTAATATGTATATTGTGTGGAATAATAATTAAATTAGGGGTGACATGTGGTCTCGCATGGAACGTCACAGACTAATATGCAAAAGATACCAGGTTCGAATCTGGTTCAAGCCTAAACAACCCCAATTCCTACTTACAATAAAGGATTGTAGAAGAAAAAATGGATTTCGAGAAAGAAGAAAGAATTTAATAAGTCTAATACCTTTGTAGAAATTTATTACTAGTAACGCCAATTAATCACTTATTTCGAGTACTTAAAATACTGATATACAGTAATTTAAATATTCAAAATAAGTGATTAAGTACTCGAAATAAGTGATAAATTGGCGTTACTAGTGATAAATTTCTATAAGGGTAGGTAAGGAAAAAAAGAGATAAAGCAAAAAAAAAAGATTTGATGGCAGGAGAAAGAAGACAAGGATAAAGAAGGAAAAGAAGAAGCCGCAAAGAAAGAAAGGAGAAAAGGGAAATTGTAAGATTTTCAAGATCAAGTTATAAAGAAAGTAATGAGATTATTGTAAAAGGTTCGGGGAGTACATCCTTTGTAAAAAGCGCCGTGTATAATCTCAAAAGAATTAAATTGATAAATATTCTATACTAATAATTAACTTAAAAAGGAATTAACTAAATTACTTTATGTTAAATATGTTAAATATTTTATATAAAAACATATATATGTTTTTATATAAAATATTTAACAGTTACATTTAACATATATGTATATACAAAGTGTTCAACGTAAGTCTGCACGATTTTTGAGACATTTTTGACAGTTAAAAAAAAAGTTTATATAATAAACATTAATCTATTTTACGCAAGTTATTATATACAATACAATAGTTTAAAAATAAAAATTTTTCAAAAAATTAATGTCAAATTGATTTTTAATGGAACCACCATATTGTGTTTAATATAAATTGATTTCTTAATAATTACTTCTTTATTGTAAGTGTTAATAAAAAAATTATTAAAATGAACTCTTTACGATATATTTAAAATCAAGGTTATGCTATATAAGTTTTTACAGTTTTGTTGATTTATCATTATTATTTTATATACTGTTGTATAAATATTATGTTTTATAACTAAATTTCTCTAATGAATATTCTCGGTAAGGATTTTAACTTACCATGTCCGCATTTATCGAGGTGATTTGTGGCTTCGAATTCTTCTTTGCAAGCACAAACTTTTTTTTTCGGTTCGCAATAGGAACCTGCAAAACCGCACTCATTGTCCACCTCACAAATGTCGCCAAATTTTTTAGCACCCCTGCCGGATAGATCTGAAAAAATACATAATAGTTAAAAAGAATTACAAATAAGTTTATAAATATTTTTTCATAATAAACTTGATTTTTTATGCATTTTTTTATAATAAACTTTTTATTTTTTATTAATTATTGCAAAACACTTGTACAAATATAAAATTAAAACATTTATTAAATTATTAATATAATTTAAATTAAATAGCGGCAGATTGTTTCATTCTAAAAAGAGACAATCTAGAAATATTATAACGTCTGCGCATGTTTGTACTTTTATGTATACTTTTCATGTTAACTTTTTTCACTTCTATTATTTTTATATTTCATTTTATGTAATTGTTGAAGCAAATCCAATGAGACCAAAATTTTAATTAATAAATAGTGCCTATAATTAATTAGGAGATTTCCATTTGCGCCTTTATCTCGTGATTGGTTCTTTTACGCTTTTATTATTATTTATATTGAAATATTCAGAGTTTTGTGTTTTATTATGCAAATATATGTATTTAGAGAATATATGTATACGGGGTGTTTCAGGAGGAAAGGTACATATTTCAGGAGATTGTAGTATGGACCATTTTAAGTACAAATGTTCATATTAACATGTCTAATTTTCAATAGGTATGGAGTTGCAGCCGTTTGAATGTTAAGCACAACGAAATCTGCCACAACTGAACAAGAGTATAAAAATGACTTATATCTGCAAAAAACTTACAATAATTAATGAAGACCACATGAAGAACTTGCTAATAAAAATACAAAAACTTATTGGTGCTTTTATTGATGCAAAATCTATTTATGTTTGTAGGGTTTTTGCATCAATAAAAGCACTAATAAGTTTTTGTATTTTTATCATAATACTTTTCTGCACAGTATTTTCATCCATAATACTTTTCTGCATAATAAGATCAATCAATTTGTATTAAGAAAACAGATAATTGCTTTTAAAAATATGTAATATTCAATATGCAGTTGCATACTTTTTTTTATAAGCAACTATGTTTTTTTATTATCTCATTATTCCGTGCAAAACAGTATAAAGGTAAAATTATCGAAAACTGAATATTTTACAAGATATTTTATATTTTACATTGTCAACAAATTGTTAGCTTCAAATCTTTATAACTCAAAGAGTACTGAAAAAATATTTTATAGGATTTTGGAAAACGGTTGAGATAAGCTACAAGAATATGTAATAAAAAATAGGGGGTTCCGTGTAAAAAATTCAAGGTGACTTTCATGTAATCTAGAAACGACTATTCAAGGTCAAATCAATGACACCATCTTATGTTCCCTCGAAGTTAAACAATTTTTGTTCGAAACATTTTTTCGTATCTCTAATATCTTTCGAGATATTTGCGTGGATTATTTAAAATGGGACACGCGTATATATTTTATTTGTCAAAATACGAATACAATTTAGAAAATCCAGTATATATCGAAATATATATATAATTTGGTGTTTTTATAATTAAATTTTTAAAAATTTAAATTATTTAACATTACAATGTCATGCTACATTTTTAGATTTATTCTTATAATATATAACTTGTAGGATATTATATTTACAATATTTTTGTGGCGTCGCTCTATTAATTCATATCACATTAAAATTATATAGAGCTGTAAAGAATTATATGACCAGGTGTATATGCAATATAAATCCTATTTACATGTATCGCTTTATATTCGTGCAAATTAGCTGCTCCTTAAAAAATCAACTTTTCATCAATTATTGCAAAGATTACAAAATAGTAGAGGACTTTTTTTCTCGGTTTTCTATTCTTCTTATTTGTATACAAGGAATTCGACGATTATTACCAAGTATTCTTTTGACAAAAACATTAATAACAATTAATATTGAAAAAAGTTTGTCAAGATAGCTTTATTTAATTAATAATTAAAATTTAATTCTAATGACAATATAAAATCAAACTTTCTCTTAACATGTTTATAATTTTTTGGAAAGATCTTAATAGATATTATGTCAATTAAATACAGATTATTTTTTATTATTGAAAAATGTATATTTAATGTAATATTTAATGTAAATATTTAATGTAAATTTACGTAAATATAAATGAAAACAAATTATTAATTTTTGTTTATATATCCAAATAATACATAAAATAAAATAATAATTTTAAAAGATAAATATTTATACACTTATAATTAAATAATATATTTATATACTTATAATTTAATAAAATAATATATAATTAATTTCAAAATAAAATATATTAAATTTCAAAATATATTAAAGTTTCAAAATTTTATTTAAGGAAATTTTTAATAATTCTATTAAATGTAATATTTTCAAAACTCTGATTTAGATATGTTTTTCCATAAACTGTATTAATTATACTTTGCGCTGAAAATTATCACAAAACATACTAGCTACAGTCTCTCGTCATACAATTTATTATATAATATCACTTTTTATTTTCTCAATTTTATAAATAAACTAGATAATACCAGCGCGCGCTAAACAAACTTTTTTTCCGCGAGTGTACATAATTTTAATTTGCCGAAATTCAATTATAATATATACATAACTTTAATTCTTGAATTTTTACATAATTTTAATTTGCCTAATTACTATTACAAACAATTTTAATTCGCCGCATTATTTTTATGTAAATACTAGATAAATACAAGCGCACGCTTCACGTGCGCTAAATAAACTTTTTCTCCGCGAAGGTACATAATTTTAATTTACTGAATTTCAATTATGTGCATAACTTTAATTCTCGAATTTCTATTATATACATAATTTGAATTCATCGAATTTCTATTTCCCTTTCTAACTGAGAAACTATGTAGTCGAAACCACTCAATCACAAAATTAATATACAATTATTTATCAGATTTTAACTATTATATACACCAAATCCTTTAATATACATTACTATCACACTACACTAACCCCTCAATACATACAACTATCAAAATATGCAATGACAGCTGTTCACGAAGTAAACGCTGTGACGAAACTAATCGGCATCGCGGAAAAGAGGCAATAATACTTCGAGGTTTTCGAAATAAACCAATACATTTGAAAATCGACTTAACAGGCCTTTTTTAAAAAAAGGATTATATCAATATTATATTAATGTAATTAAAATTGTTTTTAGATAAAATACATAAAGCATATTTTTATTGGCAATACTTAATGTGAAATTATTTCTGAAAAGTAACAACAGTGATATATTATATAGCCCTGTAATTATTGTGTGCTATAAAGATATAGTAAATATATCTTTATATGCTTATAAAGATGTATAATAGGTATTATAAAAGTATAATAACATGCTTTTCTGATAAAATCGTCGATGATGTTAATTTTATGTGATTAGATGTTTATATGTACTAACTATTTAATATTATTTTAAATATTAAATATAATATTAAAAACAATTAACGATATACTGATATCTATAATATTTTTTATATTTATTTTAAGAATTTATCAAATAAAAAAAAATCATTTTATGAAATGAGAAAAAGAAAGGACCTTTCCTTTGAAGCAATTGCAAAAAAGAAATTTAATTATTTTCCAAAAACTTAACATTTAATAAATATTATAAATTCAACATTTAATTAATACAAGTAAAACAAATTACTTGTGCTTACTAATAAGAAGGTCATTTGTAATAGAATGGCGAAGAGAAAAGCTGTATTTATAAAATTAATAACAAATCCGTACACGACTTGAAATGTGGAATTAAAAGTGGCGACTATTCGACGGCTCGAAGTTAAAATGGCGCCAGACGGGTCAATCTATGCATTAAAAGTGGGTCAGTCCACTACGGCATGTCGCCAATGCTCTCACATGCGAAAACTCCCACGCCTACCGTCGTCACTCTACTACTCTCTTTTTTCTTTTGAATTACTTTCAAGTCTGCGTGCATACGCCCACTTGAAGGCATATATGTGTGCACTTATGCATTAGTCTCTTAATGTGCTCAATGTCGAAAGCCTTATTGTAAGAAAATGCTTCATTGAACATTTATGGGTTACACATATTTATAACTGCAGCTATAGTAAATATATTAAGTATATATAGTATATATAATAGGAGTAATAATATACAATATATATAGTATATATAGGAGTAATAATATGCAATATATATAATACTATATATAATAAGAGTAATAATATGCAATACCGGTACCTTAAAATAATTAGGTTGTATTAGAAAATGTAATTTTAATTAGTAAAATATTTAGAAAATTATTCAACGATTCCGGTGGATAACTCTATTATCTAATGTCTAAAAATTAATATATTATTTAAAAAATAAAATAATTAAAACCCAGATAGCACAGAATATTTATAAAATATTTATAGAATATTCATAATAATTATTTTAATATTTTATAAATATTTATCATAAATATTTTATAAATATTTTTGGAATCTTAGATTCAATAGATCATAAATATGAAGGAATCTATATGAAAAAAATCTACCTAAAAATAAACTTTTTAAGATTTTTAAATAATCGTGGAAACTTGTTAGGGCACATATTGTATAAGATTAAAGTTGAAAAAATAAGGATTATATGCCTCACATCCAAGATCGAAGATAGAACGTTTTAAATAAAAAAAATTTTTAAAAAGTAAAAAAATAAAAAAATTTAATTTTTTAAAATTAATTATTAATTTAATTTAATTTTTTTTAAATATAAAAAATATTTTAAAATTATTTTTTTTAGAGCTGTTTGTTGAAAATATATTTTTATTTATGTAGTATGAAATAATTAGATTAATAAAAAGTTTGATATAATAAAGTTTTTCGTAGAAATTTATTCGAAATTCCCATTTTATTTAAAAACAATACTCGTTTACGAGTGGATCTCATTGCGATCCCAAAATTTCTTTTATGGTACCATATTCTACATATATTGAAATATTTTTGAGTTTTTTCAGATTTTTAAAAGTGGATATAATTTTCCGTTTATTTACTTTAAACTAAACAATTGATTTTTTTTGTACTAATAAATTTTTTCCATT